GCCACACACACACGATCGCAAAAATCACACGGATAGTAGCACACACGCTGGTTCCAAAAATAATCGCGCCACGGACGGGTCTAATGGGTGCCCCGACACCGCATCCTTGGGTGATTTATGCGCCTCCACGGCGTTGTTGTTTCGATGAGGTGGCCCAGCAACCTACGCGCACCACACATATTATTATAGACTATACAGCTTTATATATATATATATACAAACACACATATACACAGACATACAGACACAGATACACAGACACAAATAAAAATTGCTTTTCTCATTAATATTCAAGATGAATACAGGATGTGATCTATTTAACAGATTTAAAATTTAAAACACTCATTATTTCAGAAATCCCTAATTTTTGAAATATTTTTATTACATAATTTTAAATTTTTAAAACCATATTTTTCAAAAAATATTTATATATATATTGTTACCATTTTAATTACTAGCATCTAAGATTTTTAATTTTTCGAACGACAGGAATATATTTTAATTCCATACTCTGAAACAAAATATTTTTCAGAGTATTTTGATCTATAAAAATCAAATTTTGAACAAGAAGTTTATGTACAGTCATAATTAAGGCAGAGAATTTTAAACACTTGCGTATTTATTTGCCCAGTTGAATAAAAATTTGTTTTTTTTTTAAATTGCTAACAAACACTAAATCCAAAATTATTATTTAAAATAAAATACTAAAATGATTATAAATTGATATCAATATAATATTGTGAAAATAGTAATTAAGTAAAAATATATGTACATCTATATTATACAAAACACGACTATAAAAACGTATATACCTTAACAGTTAATCATTTGATATGAAGAATAGTTAAATATTATTATATCTATTAAATACGAACACAGTAAATTTAATATGGATTTAACAAATAAATCTTTTTACAAACTGTTTTTTTTTTGCAGATTAATAACTACGTTTTTATCTGAAAAATGATAATATATTATTTTAATATCTATTATTATTTTTATTAGACACATTTTTTACGACAAGGTTGAAGGTACGTGCTGCTTTTTCCACAGAACGCGTTTGTTTTATTTCTGTAGTCGTTTCTTTTACGATCCCACACACCGGAACTATTGTATATATATACATAATATACGGTAAACCCACAAATCAAACTGCTAGCATACGAAAAGTAATATTTTCCATTGTATTGAGTTTTGCGAGCGCCCCCCCAGAGACATGCACTACAGTCTACGCCACCAGAGACGACGACAAATTGCTACAATAATCCGAAGTGACGTTCATCCCCCACGAGGATGCGCGCACAAATAATAATATCTATACATGTATAAGAGTGCGACTGTAACTCCGGTGCCAATAAGGATTACTAGAGATACTCTTTCTATATATATATATATATATATATATGTATAACGGCGGCCATTTCATAGAAAAGACAGAATTAGACGTAATAAGAAATAACACATGTATACATATACAACATACATACATATATGTGTATACGTCTAAGTGATAACAAATCGACGCCATTGAAGATGCGCGGTCAAAGGTCGCCAATATTCTCTATTTTCGGTCTGTTCAATTTGATAGTATGATGTAGGTATGCGTATATCAGGAATCATCAAATAATATTTTTGGAAAGTCACTTAAGAAATTCAGGAAGTTTTCGGAGGCCGTAATAATATTATAAACGCATTTATTCATAAAAAAATAAAATTAAAATAAAAAATTAAAACAAAAGTTAGTGAAAACATGGATAATTCAAAAAAGAAAAAAAATTAATATCTTGCCCGCAGGCCAGAAAAGGTTTGTTCACCGCTCGCCATTTGTAGATCCTAAATTATAGACATAGTGTGATTTGTGAAAAAATATTAAGAGCTCGAAGGTTATATTGTTAGAAGTTTGATTAAGAGCAATTTATTATGATAATTATGATTGACTATTGTCCAAGTAGGTACCTATATAGAATGTCAGTTGGTCGACGGTGGAATTTGTTGTGCATTGTCACATTTTGTTACACGTCCCTTGTAATAAATATTAATCTGATTATATAATAAAATTGGAAACAGTTTTTTTTAATTTATTTATTTATTTATTTTTTTTTTTATCACATAATTATTTGCTGTCAATTATATAACATTATATTTATTCCACATTAGAAAACATTAAATGTAATCTTAATAATCTGATAATAATTACTATATAATTTTACCTGCTGACTATATAGTTGGTGTACCGACATTTAGCTCATGTCAACGATAAAAAATTAGTTTTAATTTATAAATAAGAGATTGTAGTTCAGGAACATATATTCTTCTTTAGAATAAATAATTAAATATATTAGTTTAAATTAAACAAACAAAATAATAAGATAAATAATAGTTGAAACTCTATTTGATTATTAAAAACAAAATATACATGAAAATCTTTTTTAATTATTCTTTTTTCATAACTATATAAAATTGATTGAAAATACTGCAAGTTTAAATAACACTTGAATTAAAAAAATCACACTTTAATAAATAGAGTTGCTTATTAAAGGTCTTTTATAAATGTAGGTACATAAAACATGCACACACGACGAATTAAGTAAAACGACGTAGAAGGTCATTATGTAAAGTTATTCCTAGTAAATATTTGTATATACTTATATAATATAGAATATAGATACAATTTAACTTCATACAGCTAGTAAGTAATTTATTAAGCATAGAGTTTAAAAAACCATATTAGTACAAAACGATTTTTACAATCTTTAGCAACTACGATACAAATAATAATTGGAATAAAATGTGGTATACGTAAGTGAATAGTACTCGTATTATAAATGTATATACCGGTATATATTTATAAACGAACACAATACAAGTATAAAGCTGGCATTAAACGAGACATTTATGGATTTCCGTTTGGCCGCGATAAAATGCGGAGTGGGTATAGAAATTCCGGTCAATTAGAAGAGTTTCACAAGACAAATACGACGGAATAAGGCTATAGTGCAGGGAGTAAAGATTTACATACAGTCACATTGTATATATACCTGCATGCCTTATTATACATATATCCAGACAATATATCAAACGATTTATATATTTATAAACAGAAACCTACCGCACTCAAGCAGAAACACATTTATATATATATATACTTATTTTGTATTGTACATAATATGCAAAGGTTATATACACTACCCGCAGAACTATACATATATTATATGCAGATATATATACCTACTATACCTAATACGTATATTATAATATGTATTTAAATCACTATTATTATAATAAATATATTTTTATGTCGAATAAACAATATAAATATATATATACTAATAAGTTATATATAAATAATATAAGTATTTAGGTTAAAAACAAGCCATTGTATACATGATACGAAACTCGTATAACGATCTACACACATAGCACTCGCGTGAGTCCATGTACATTATATATATATATATATATATATATATATATATATACACGAATATATTATTACCTATATGTACAAATACCATTTACGAAAGTGTCGTTCGAAAACTATGCGACTGCGAAGTCTTCGCACCTGTGCACAGAGTGAAAAAAAAAATGAAAAACACAAGCGAACCAGTAGTTGCATCTATATATACCTATTTATATCTATATTTTTTGTATTTATACAGAGAGAGACAGGGAGAAAACTAATGAATATACGTATACATATATATGGAATTATTCACTTTTCAACCCCACTAGGTTGCAGTATAGTGGATCACACTTTCATTTGATTTTGGTTCGAAAAAATTAAATATTTTTTTACTTATAGATATATATATATACGAGTATATAAGTAGGTTTTCATTAGTAATAGAAATAACATTGAAACATAATGGTATAGACCAGAGTTTCCCAACTTATAGATCTAGACCCACAATATTTGTAAACTATAATAAGCAATTATTTTGATTAAATATATGTACCTATAAAACAAATTAAAATAAATACACGCAAATAATTTTAACCATAAATTGATAAATGCTTAAATTTAGAGAAACGTAAAAAAACATAATTTAAGCATTTACTAATTTATGATTAAAATTATTTTCATGTATTTATTTTATATTATAAAATGTGAGACATGGATATTACAATGGATACCTATTGATATATTTTTAGTAACTTTTGTATCATTTTATTATTACGACTATGGGAAATTGTTGTCTTGCCGGTAAAAGTGTTAATAATTGTCAATGCAGTATTGGTTGGTTGACCATACAGTTTAGTAATGACCAGTACTTTGAGAATTCAAAAGTATACGTACAAATGAAAAATTTTAGCTAACGATTAGTCTATAATATCCGACCTATTATATATACCATGACAATTGCTAAGAGATTTTATTTTAGTACTCAGCTATTAATATTAACCGTATTCGTTATTCAAATATACCAGTAAAATACAATGTCAAAATAAAATTTGTAGCACATAAATATATATATATATATATATAGACCAAAACTTACTCTCGCCCGATTATGCTGAAAGTTTTATATCATATTTTTCTAATAGAAAATCTACCAGGACATTTAAGAGAGTATAGTTTGAACTACGTTAGAAAATATAAGAAAGAAACCATGAAATGATGTATAGCACCAATACATGCCAAAACAGCACCGTATCTTATAAGTCGATTGTATTTTTTCCCGGGCAAAGTCGAGTTTAACAGATATATAGTTTTATTGCGTATTATAATAATATATTACGGTATGGTAGAGTAGACCGAATAGACCAGTGAAGAAACGCAAAGACGGCGGGCATAAGATACGACCTTTTAAACCCAAGCAGAAAAAATAAAGGTACGATTACACTATACTTGAGTTGCGACTCCACCGCCGCCGATATCGATCCGCGGCGGCGCGCGACGGGCGGATTGCACGCCGTTGGTCGAGTGGGCGTGACCGAGGTGGTCGCTATAATCGGTGGGCTGAGATCCCGACGGCGGCGCGGCAGTTCGATCGCACGACGCAGCCGCCGCACGCGCGCTCACGGACCGAACGGATCTCGCGGGCTGCACGCGACGACCGCCGCAGCTGCAGCAGGACCGTCACCGCATCAGTACACTGCAACAGTGATCACCGACCGACGACGACCGCGCAAGGAGGTTGCACGCGAAATATTATTGATAATAAACGACATTATTGTTATTGTTTGCGACGACGATCGCGCGTACGTCTGATCGCGGGCATGCTTTTGCCGTCGGACATGTTGGCCACGCAATCTAAGATGTTGTATCAGCTGAACAAGTACTGCGTGGAACGGGTTGAGACCAGGAAGACGGCCACGGCCAAAGCGGTGCGGGAGGTGTGCAAGGTGGTGCAGACGGTACTGCACGAAGTGGAGGCCCAGGAGCCGCGATTCATATCGTCGCTGGCCGAGTGCAACGGCCGATACGAGGGCCTGGAGGTGGTGTCGGCTACCGAGTTCGAGATCGTGCTCTACTTGAACCAGATGGGCGTGTTCAACTTCGTCGACGACGGATCGCTGCCCGGGTGCGCGGTTCTCAAGCTTAGCGACGGCCGCAAGCGGAGCATGAGCCTATGGGTCGAGTTCATCACGGCGTCCGGATACCTGTCAGCCCGCAAAATTCGATCCCGGTTCCAGACGCTAGTGGCGCAGGCGTGCGACAAGTGCGCTTACCGGGACTCGGTCAAGATGATGTCGGACACGGGCGAGGTGAAGCTCCGGATCCGGGACCGGTACGTGGTGCAGATTACGCCGTCGTTCAAGTGCGCGGGCGTGTGGCCACGGTCAGCCGCCCACTGGCCGGTGCCACAGCTCACGTGGCCGCACCCCAACCTCATCGTCCAGGTAAAGACCGAAGGATTTGACCTGCTGTCCAAGGACAGCGTCATCATGCACGGAAAGCAGAACTCGATGGAGGGCGACGCGTGGGTCATGTCGTTCACAGACGTCGAGAACCAGCTCCTATACGGCGGCTGCCGGAAGCGATGCCTGAGCATACTTAAGACGCTCAGGGATAGGCACCTCGATTTGCCCGGTAACCCGATCACCAATTATCACATTAAGACGCTGTTGCTGTACGAGTGTGAGAAACATCCGCGGGACGCCGAGTGGGAAGAGACTGGTATTGCGGACCGCATCAACGGCATACTGTTGCAGCTCATCTCGTGCCTGCAGTGCCGCCGGTGCCCGCATTACTTCATACCACATCTGGACCTGTTCAAGGGTAAGACCCCAGCGTCTCTGGAGAGCGCGTCCAAGCACGTGTGGCGGCTCAGCCGAGAGATACTCACCAATTCTAGGGCCTTCGATAAGCTCTGAGGGGTTTCGCGGCGCGACGTATTATATTATATTACATACCTATAACATCTGTGCAGTACAGTGAAACCTTCTTAAATATCGCAAACTCTCAGTTCCGCTAAAAGTGTGTCCGCTATATTCGGAGATGTAGTCAGAAGAGGTTTCGCTGTACATTTTATCATCGCATCGCGTCGCATAATATTTATATATTTATACAAGTATTATAAATTTTTTTATATACTTTATTACTAAGCTAGTCAACGTGTTTTCGTCAATTGCTGAAATCGATAATTAATATAATGTTCTATGTGTTATTTGATTATTAGATATAAATGTATTGCTACCGCCCAGAAAGATCTCTCGAATCGATAACAATTATCCTCTGTAGTTTTAGTAGTTTATATGCTATAAATATAGTATGTTTAAGTATCCTATATACATCATATATGTTATAAACTTATAATCACACGTAATCATCACTTGAATGATTTAAAAGGATACGTTTACTGTATTATATTATACTATATCGTTATTAATATGTCTACCTATACTTTTTTATTTTTTGATAAAACATTTTTATTCTCTAAGTTACAATAATATTGTTTAATTTTTTTCGTTTTTGTTGTATGTGTGCAATATTAGCAGTATTATGCTATTCTGTTTTGTTTGTAGGTAGGTATACTATTAGTGATTTATTACTTACATATTACTTATTATGTATTATTAAAAATTGATAAAACGAACTATTTACTATGAAATTTATAGATGAAATTTGTTATGTATCTTCATTGATAGCTTTTTTTTTTTTAAATGTATTAAGCTCTTAGTAATTTTGAATGTAAATATTTTATAAATGCATAAAATACATGATTCATAAACAATACAATATACTAATATATTATGAATACCTATTACCTACATTCTAAATTAAACTGAAAAATAAAATTATTACAAATTTATTAAAGTCTTTTATTAATGAATTATATTACCTATAAAAAATTATAAGATACGATTGCACGTTATTTATTATAAAATAGGTAAGAATAGTATTATCTTAGTAACATTTTAATTCTATTAATATGTATATAATGATTTAAAGAATACAATTATTTATTTTATTATTAAATTGAAAAATTAAAAACAAAACATGGTTCCAAAAATAAATTAAAAAAATAGTGAGTGAGTGTATTACTGTATACCTATATATATGTATTATCGTAATATCATAATATACTTTAATAGGTATATATTATTTATAACAGTCATATACTTATTTTACTACTTAATATATTGTGTAATATATAAACTATATTAAAAAGGTATTCTTAGAAATATACATATATGTAGGAGTATATATATGGAAATAAATATACCTATGGAATATTTGGATATAACTGATATGTTCGACTTACAAAATATCGTAATATCAATAAGTCATTGAGTGGCGATTTTAATTGTATATTTTTTTTGAATTTATGAATATTATTTACACTCCAAACTAAAACCTATACTCTATATATGTTGTATATGTACCTACCCTTATATTGTATATATATCTACATTTATATATATATATATATTAGATTAGAAAATAATATTATTCATTAAAATATTGTTTAATGAGCAATATAGATATTTTGCTGCATATTATATAATTTATTTAGATTGAACAACACATTATTTATGCTGGATAAAAAAATACAAAACAAATGGATCCACTTAGTTACATCTCTTATTTATAGTTATTTGATAATATTGATAATTCAAATTGATTCTTTTTTTATAAGAACGAAAACAAAATATAAATTTGAAACATTGAATTTGTGGTTAAATACTTTTCAAGAAATTAATTTTTGTTTTATTCAAGTATTTTTATTAGGATATACATAGATATATACAATTATGTATGTATATATTATATTTCTTATCAAACTTACTTCAATCCCACCCTAATATTTTTTTTATAATTCATTGTTAAGCTTGAGATACTTAATAAGATCTAATCCTGCATATATAATAAAAATCATATATTTATATAAATATATTACATTATATTCTTAAAAGTTACCTACTTAAACATTTTATTAAATAAATAAAACTCAAACAATTATGCATAACAACTAAACATAATATAAACTTTCTATTGGATTTGAATGATTATTCAATATAAAATTAGTTTAGTGAAATGTTATGTTTAAAACTGTAACAGAATTCATATTATTTAGTTAGAAAAATTAGAAATTTATACAAAACAGCAACATTAAAGAGTAAATAATCGAATTTCTACCTAGATAATTTCGAATATTGTTCTATATTTAACTATATAATATACAAATCAAATTTGAAATATTTCATTTTGTGTAAATTATCTATGTATTAATATACTGTGCATAACGCGCTTTACAATATATCTAATATATTATGCACTACCAAACACATTTTCATTAAACAGGTTAATTATGACTTTAATAAAAAACCAAGTGTTACAAATTAATACATAAACACCTATAACATTAAAACAATAACTTTAAACCTATCCACATAATAATAAAAAAAACATTCTACAACCGGTTAATTGAAAAGTAGGTATATATATCTACCTAAAATCTAGATATAACATTTTATTTTATGGTATAATAATCAAATGTAAAGATGTGTTAAAGTACCTACAACCAATAGATAACCATTATTTAAGCATAAAGGTTATAAAATCAAATTTTTCAAACGAACTCTTATTTTTTAAATAGAAATACGATAGGTAATATCTTATAAACTACAAATATATATATTTATTGATCAACTTGTATTTGACGTATTCAATACCCAAATAATGTTCCAGAAGTATATACATACCGATAAAATGATACTATACCTAATATATTATACATAGTTATCTATACTATATAGACAATACAATCAATAAAAAAATAATAAAGTATAATTTATGAGAAATGTAAAACACAAATAATTGCTTGTAACATTTATCGACGAATGAATTATATGAGTAAAAATAGACGTCATTGACATAATACAAACATATAATATTAAAATACACAATATATACCTATATAAACTTTTAAAATTTAGGGATACACTGATATAGGTATATATATATTATTTATAAATACGTAAAAAATACATTTTCCTGTAGCAATAAACACTACGTGGACAGTTGGAATGAAAAAAAAAAAAAACACCAAACATCGTACACACCATACACACACATCAGTAGTATATATCTATTTGGCTCGTATAATAAATTATGAAAACGCGTCGTTTCGAGGGTAAAAAACGTATCGAATTTCCTGCCCGAGCATGCGTGCGTTTATGCGTATAAGACATATACACGTAGAAAGAGACAAAGAGACAGATAAATAATATATATATATATATATATATATATAGAGAGAGAGAGAGAGAGAGAGAGATAGCAAAAGAAAAACGGTTACAGAGTCACCGATGTACATACAGAATGATTCACGAGCACGGTTATAACCATATTTTTATTATAATTATAAGTTTATTCGAATTCTTATATACTTTAGTTAGTCTGACTACTTCCATGGTAAAAGATAATTTTTCTGAACGTTTTATTTTAACGTATCAAAATTAAAATTCAATCAAGTGAATTAACTTTTAAGTGCTAAGGATATGGGATTATAATATAATAATAGGTGTGCATGAATATATACGGCGGCTTTAATGATTTGAAAATTGTATATAATCTATCAATATATCCGATTTGTAAAAGCTTTCCAAGTTAGTATAATAAATAGTAAATCTATTATTAAATTGATTTTAATACCTATCTATATTATTAATACAAGAACCTTTTATTTTAAGATTTATTATATCTACTAAAAATAACTATTTATTAAAAAATTATAAACTTATTCAAATTTTGAATACAAAAATTCAAAAATTGGTAACATAAAAATTTTTGGTAAAATTATTCAGAACTTACAGTAATGAAAAAATGTTTTCTTTTAAAATACAGAAGTTTACATCAACACAGAACACTCCTTAAACATTACAAAAAAATATGAATAATTTGAAAATAAAAGTATTTGAATTCCTAAAAATTTTATGTCTTATTATAAATTTATTTTAATATAAGTATTAAAGGAAAACACGAAGGTGAGCATCATACTCGATGAATCACCCTGTATGTAGTATACTTTACAAGTGAGCTTCGACATGTATATTATACTTATATGTGAATATACCGAGTGTAGCCAAAGAGTAGTGTATAAATATACAACGAAGAAAAAAATACTTATAGAGATGGTAAAAAAAATCTCTACACACACACACCCGTGAACGGGCAAACCATGAAATGCGGGAAAAAAAACGTATCACGGGAAAGAAAACAAAACGGAATAAAAAACAAAATAGGGGGAAAAGAAGTTAGAAAAAAAAAGGCAGCCTGTACGGTCGAGACGCAAAATCCGTCATACACGCCGCGGCGAAGAATATTATATTATTATCAATGTGTCGTAGATATCGTAGTCCGCGGCCCGGAACCCGCCCCGGATCGATAGTCTCGCGGGAGAGAGAGCGCGGGCGCGCGAAATGGGCGTTTCCCCGGAGTTGACGCCTCACGGGACCGCGCCCCGCCGAGGCGACGAGCGGGAACGCCCGGCTTGAGCCACCATCCGACACCACCGTCGGTATACCGTCGTCGTCGTAGTCCCACCGAGCGACTACCGACACCGCCGTCGCACAACCGCAGTATCACGTCTAACGTCGCTCGCACTGCACACAACACAACGTTACTGTCGCTCACGTTTTTTAATAAGTAATTCATATCAATCATCGTACATCGTACCTAACCCGTCGGTTTTGCACCCACATAATATACAACGATAGTTCTCGACGCGAATCCGCCGAAATCTTTATTATAACCAATATACAAATATTTTCATTTCCTCGTCTGTTCACGCGTACACGCGTCGTCGGTGTATTATAATACATTGATATAATCGCACGGTCATGTCGTGACGGAAACTCGATCCACTGTTGGCGACTTGCATCAGGTGACATGCGACACGGTGCCGGTGCAACAGTCACAGAAGCCGCGATGCTGGTGCCGCAAGACATGCTGTCCACCCACACTAAGATGTCGTATCAGCTGGGCAAGTTTTGGGCGGAACGGGTGATGATCCGGAAGACAGCCGCGGCGAAGACGATCCGGGAGGTGTGCAAGGTGGTCCAGGACGTGCTTCGGGAGGTGGAGGCCCAGGAACCGCGATTCATATCGTCGCTGGTCGAATGCAACGGTCGGTACGAAGGCCTGGACGTGGTTTCACCCACTGAGTTCGAGATCGTGCTCTATTTGAACCAGATGGGAGTGCTCAACTTCGTCGACGACGGATCGCTGCCCGGATGCGCGGTTCTCAAGCTTAGCGACGGCCGCAAGCGGAGCATGAGCCTGTGGGTCGAGTTCATCACGGCGTCCGGATACCTGTCAGCCCGCAAAATCCGGTCCCGATTTCAGACGCTGGTAGCGCAAGCGTGCGACAAGTGCGCGTATCGGGATTCGGTCAAGATGATCGCTGACACCAGCGAAGTGAAACTCCGGATCCGCGAGCGATATGTGGTGCAGATCACGCCGTCGTTCAAGTGCGCGGGCATATGGCCTAGATCGTCTGCACACTGGCCACTGCCGCAGATCCCGTGGCCGCATCCCAACCTGGTAGCTGAAGTCAAGACTGAAGGATTTGACCTGCTGTCCAAGGAGTGCGTGACGCTCCACGGCAAGCAGTCGGCGCTGGAGGGCGACGCGTGGGTCATGTCGTTCGTGGACGTCGAGAACCGACTCATGTACGGTGGTTGTCGGAAACGGTGTTTAAGCGTGCTAAAAACGCTCAGGGACCGGCACCTGGATCTTCCCGGGAACCCGGTCACCAATTACCACGTTAAGACTTTGCTGCTGTACGAGTGCGAGAAACATCCGCTTGAAATAGAATGGGACGAATCGTGCTTGGGCGACCGCATCAACGGCATACTATTGCAGCTCATCTCGTGTCTTCAGTGCCGGCGGTGCCCGCACTACTTTTTGCCGCACGTCGACCTGTTTAAAGGCAAAGCACCCGGTAGTCTGGAGAACGCGGCCAAGCAGACGTGGAGGCTGACCAGGGAATTGCTTACCAATTCCAGGGCTTTTGACAAGCTGTGACCAGTGCCGCAACACACATATACGATATATTATTAAAATAAATACAAAGGACACTACTCTGCTATAAAGAATGCATCGTGATCGCGTCGTCATCATAATATAACTCCGCTGTCACCGCCAACGCAGGCGAGGTTTTTATTACGTTTTGTTATATACGTCTTTTCATATTATATTTTTATATTATTTATTACATTTTTTTCTGCCCTTGCACCTCGCGTTTCTCTACCGCGGAGAAAAATTCAACCGAACTGTGTTTGGTATGTATTATTATATTACTGTTTTTTTTTTTTATTATTATACTGTACGTATCGCATACGCTCGGATAATATATACCACTATATGATCCCCATAAACTTAATTTAGGAGCGTACGCCATATAATTTGTCTTTAAAGATATACGATATGATTTTGTTTTTTTATTTTGTTTTTTGTTTATTTTTAAATTGTTTTTTAAATATTTAAACAGCACTTGTTGTCCGCCTCGGAAAACGGAATAATTTATATTATTTTTTTCTGTGAGATTCACATACTATATATACTATTATATTGTTCTAAGCTAAGCCTACTACGTTCAATAGATACATGTGTAAATTTGTTATTACTCGGCGCGTTTTGATTATTGCTGATCATAAGAGGCGATTCATCAAGTTTTCAGTAGTTTGTATGCAAGTTTAAATCGATAGGTGGTACACTGCAGGTATGAACATTCGTTTAGTTATTCTCAATAATATACTTATATTATAATCTATAGGTACAATATGTGTTCAATTATATTATTATTTGAAATTAATTATGTATTAAATATATCCCATAATAATTATATTATAATGTATGTATATGAGTAGCTAGTGGTCTCAACAATATATATCTGTACTATTATTTGAGTTAAGTTTTTATAACTTAATAACATTTCACGAATACCTATAATCGTGTATTCATAATTTTGTATATTTTTTATGACATAATTAACATATAAGTAATCGGTGAAAATAATGTGCTTATGTTTGTGAATATTATATTAGATGAATAATAAATTTGGAAATTCTTAATTACTGGTTGCATATTCTAATGTTTTCATGAAGTAATAATAAATAACATTGCTGTACATTTATAATATAAAATATTTAACAACCTAATTTATTATATAATAAATTATCGTTAGTCAGTCCTTATCAGTTCAATGATCTTTCCAAACTTATTGAATATCTGTATATTGTATATTTAATTCAAATGAATATTACTTTTTTTTTTAAATATGAATTATAAAAAACTTAGTTTTTTACCAATAAAATATGTACCCATTATCTTATTATAGGTACGTAAGATTACTAATCTTATACTATAAATCATTTTTCTCTAAAACTATTTAAGATAAACGACTGAAAATCTAAATATATTTGCATAACAGCAATAAACAGACTACACAATTCGATATAATATATAATTATCAGCAACTATATTTGATTTGTAAAACCCACGGGAGAGTTAGCATTTTAAATATACTGAAAACGGTAATTCAAACAGTTAAATACTAGTTTTATTTTTATGACTAAATGTAATAGAATATACATATTGTACCACAGACAAATTGTGTAATATTCAACGTCAACATAAAATAAAGAATTCTATTTTTTTATTATATTGTTTTACAAGTCCTACTTCCGTTGTATAATATTACAAATTAACCATCAAATGCATTCCTAAAAATATTCTAACATAACATGAACACTTATTATGTTTTAATTTTAAGTACACGCGATTTATATAATTATAATTACGAAAATAAGATATAAGTTAATTAAAACTAAACGAAAATAATATTGTTCTCTAGTCAAATAGGAATATAACAAATTACTTATATTTTTTTTTTTATATAAATAATAATACGTATAGGTACCGTCGAAAAATACAGCTAATGTTAAATATTCTGTGATAATAATAATGAATATATTAAAAATAGTACTATTGATAAAATTTTGTGTTGAAAATATAAACATTTCAAAAACAAAGTTTGTAAATTATTTATAAATTACTCCTTGTCACGGGGGAAAAAAACAAATAATAAATTTGGAGGAAAATAATTTTCTAAATCGTTTTTTTTTTTTTTGCGTGCAATCTTTGAAAAATGATGAGTTCGTGCGGGAAGGAAAAAATAACGTAGATTACGATAAGTGGTGTACGGTCCCATTCCGCGTACATCGTGTAAATGTACCTATATATACATATACGTGCAGTTGAACAGTTTCCGGTATGATAAATGAAGAGAAATGCATTAAAGATGAAAGCATCAGTGGTCCCCAGGAGTGTTGTAAAAACGGAAGAAGACACACGCGGTCACCATAAGCGCTTAGGGTGGTAATTGAGTTAAGTGCTCTCTCGCGGAAGTGGTCTGGTATCACTTATAAACGTTCACGTGGAGTAAATACATAGCAAGGGACAACGAATTATGACGAGCTAATGGTATTTCTCACCCCTTCCCGTAATTGCTTTTAATAATAAAATTCATTAATGAGAACTCGTCTTGTCCTCAAATTGTATACTGCCCCGGTTAACCCTGCCGCAGTTTTGTCAGCATGTAATGCATAGATAATACGAATAATAATACCATTCGAGCGTCGTTTGTTAACATGACTTAAAAAGGCGCGTATATGCTATTTTTAACCAGCGTTGTGCACACATAAACGTTTGAATAAAGTATATATAAGATGATAAAATATTATACGCACATATAGCGCGGCGTACCTAACAAATATTATTAGCAGGTAGGTAAGGAAAATAACTCAAACCAGTTTTAATATAATATGTAATAATAATTCACGTTTTTGCGTGGTCCAATTATTAAATTACTTCAGTAAGAAATTAATCAAATTAATTATTTTTTAATAATAAAAAATAGTAATAATAATAATACAGCTTATCTATATCGAAATTTTGTTAAAGAAAAATACATTATATAAATCATAGACAAAAGTTGCACTTATGCGTTAATTGATCAACATAAATAAATGAGTAATTTATGAAAATATATAGAAGTAAGACTTATAGCATCTCAAATGTATTGATAATACATATGGACTAAATATCGTAAATATATAATACTAATACCATTTTTTATCAATGAATGATAATAAATATTTTTAATTTATTATGCCAAAGTAGAATTGAGACAAACTTTGCTCGGTTACTTAGATCATTGAAATTTTAAATGTTACTTAAAACAAATTAAATGAGTGCCAAAAATTTGATTTTTCCACCGAAATATTCAAAATAATATTCTGCTTCGAAATATGGAATTAAATAAAAATTATGAGAATAAAAAATAGCCAAAATATAACTGATTTTCAAAAATGTCATATAGCGAATCACTTAAACGTATGTAGGTAAAAATAATTTTCAAAACATTAATAATTATACTGCAAAATAATCACCATCGTGAATTATATAAAATCAATATACTATACAATATTATTTTATACTTATATCGTTACTAAATTCTAGTAGTATTATTATCTAATCATTCCATGACTATACAGATGTACTCGTAAAACTTGATTCGTATATACTTGTCTAAGCACAATGCGTTAAAAATTTGCTCGTGTATATGTAATATTATAATCATACCATTGTCAATTTGATTGGAGGAGTGTATGATTACAGAATGGAGCGGGGAGACAACCATCACCGTAACACATGTGATATTATTGTGAAATAAATAACGTCATGTATTATATCATATTATTATATATTATATTATTAAGTACCCTATAAGCGGACGACGATCGACCTCGGTGCAGCTCGGAGAGTGCACTATAGACGAAGAGTACATAATAATATAATATTATGTGTGTTATAACACAGATGTTTTACACCACACAAAACACTACATTTATGTACAGGATTATGTCCGCAGGCCATTTCCATTGTCGCGAATCCTACCCCGTATTCAATATATATGTTACACACGTCGTCGTATCATATAAACATAATATGTATAACCTTCTGCACAATATGAGGGTTGTTTCGTTTATTATTATTTTCATTTGTCTTATTTTTTGCTGAATAGCAAAGCCCCAGTTTGATTGTGGTGGGTTAACATTTTGAAAAATTCGCGAACTGAAAATGCGGTGCAGAAATATTTACCCAAAAGACTCGAACGGAGGCGGCGTCATTGGGTAGTCAAATAATATGTATATATAATAGGTAGCTAGTATGCGAATTACGCATACACACACACTCATATATATATGTGTATAATGTACATATTATATTATATTTTATACATTGTTGTATAGCAAACATCCATTTACTGTGCAGCACGTCGTCCCGGGGGAAACGCTACACCGTCTTCGCCTGGACAAAGTGATTACATTTTTATAAATCACCACACCGTGTCTTAATCATCCCCTCGAAAACATTTCGTTCACGCACCGCCGAGCAACTCCATTGCCGTCGCCGCCGATGCCGCGCGCGCACCCCGCCGGAACACGAATTACGCATGTACGCAAGTACCTATATACGTACATAAACATTTTATATATACATAAAACATATATACCGGGTGGTCCGTATCAAACACACACAAATATACTTATATATACACATCAGACAACATATTGTTCGCGAAAAGGTATAACGGCTGTCGACTACGACGAAGACAACGCAGAGAATAGCTTTGTTATATATACACATTATATAATATGTTGAGGTACATACAGTTATAGTCCCCCTTAATACTGAAGTATATTGACAATGCACAGAGTGCTACAATAGCCATCTTATATCTTATCCAATACTATTTTGGGGCGCCCAATCCGCGTGTAGGCATATATATATATATATATACGCGTATTATATAATTGTATACATTTTATATTATTCGACAAACTACATAATATATTTGTATACATAAAATTCGACCGAAAAACGATGACATTTTGTTATTTTATCTGCGCAAAAACGTGTATCGTCCAAACACAATGTTCGATCAAGGCCAACGATCGCTTGTGTTATTGAAACTGCTGCAGTTTTATTAAAATCAAAATTCCATCATTTGGAATTATATGTGTAATTATAAATGTATATATCATACAAAGCATTATAATTTTACCACCGACAAACACGCCATTATGCGATCAATGACAGCATGATAGAAAACGATTTAACTATTTTCAAACACTATAAATAATTGCACATGTATTATTACGATAACGACGATAACAGATGCTATAAGCAGTTGAATATTTGTTTTATACAATCGTAAGAAAAGCCCAGCTAGTTTCTAGTATATTTAATTTTATCGAAAATTCATAGATCTGTAATTTTATGTAGCATATAGTTTCACGTAATTAGATGTTTTCACTCTTTGAGACTAATATGTAAACCTGAATGGCCGTGGATTATATAATAAGCGGTAAACATTTTAGCATCGTCTTGAATACGTATAATATGTTATACCTACTTAGTTGAAACTGCAGTCTAGAAAAACTACAGTGGAACTTTCGTGCACCCCGTGCGTGCAAAATATTATAATCAAATACGTCAGAAGAACCAAAATTGAACATTCGAACGGGTAGAAGTAGGGGGTTGGTGGCGTCACGAACGCGGGCACCGAAACATGGCGAAAAACCCTGCGTGCTACAATAACCCATAAATTCTAGTTAGGCCGCGAAAATATAGCCCCTACCGCTCACGAGCCGGTAATCTAATTTGGATCCGAGTTTTATGCGAAAGGCGCGCACCAGACGAAGGGGGTTGTTGTTGCTATTATGTCAAGCACCGAGCACCGTGGCGATGAGGCAGTCGCGTCGTTGTCGGATGTGAAAGATAAAATAATATATGTATATTGTATATATATATATACATCGTCTAATGGATGTTTTTAATCAGGTTTGGTCGGCTTTTAATATACAGACAGATTAACGTAGGGCGGATGAACAGTGGTGAGGGAGGTGGTTCGATATACAATTGTCGAAGCCACCAACAACACTATAGTGCAGAATACTAT